ACATAGCCATTACGCTAACTGCTGGTTCCCAAGACCTATTTTAATGTTATCAAGAAAATAAAAAAATCCACAAAGGAAGAAAAAGATCAGGGAATATATATGCCATTGCAAAGTCATTAGGGCAGAGAATGCTTAGAATCATGCTTTCCAATCCTGTCTCCTATCCCTACTTTTCCTCTCTGAAGAGCTCACATGTCAACTGACTGTAAACCTCTTCTAGTGAATGACGTAAGCTGCCATGGAGAGTAATATGCCTGAAGCTTATCGCCAGTCTCCTTAGTCTCTTGTACTTATTCCTACCTTTCTGGCTGTTCTTGTGCATAGTTTTCACTCTGTTTTAAACTGCTTTATAGCAATCTCTACAATCCTTTTCCATGTACCAGCCTATAACCAGCTCTCTTGAATTTATGCTGAAAAAGCTTCTTTTCCGACTTGTCTTGAGGGATCCTTTAAAATCTGTATACTTTGCCCTCTCCTCCTTCGCTAAATCACATTTTTGTTCTTCTCTAAAATAACACTGGATGATAATTAGATATAAGTTGTTCTTATGAGTACAGGTCTTATTTTTTCAGCCAGATCCTAAAATATTTTAGGATGCTTAGGACTGCATAAATTTAGTGAGTTATAATGTTTTAAAGAGCTTTGATAATATAAAGGTATATTTTCATATACATATAGATATAAAGGTAAATAGTATGTATCTGATGAGATACCAGCACTCAGAGTGACATAACGCAGTGATGGAGACATGGATAGATATTTGTGTATTTCCCTATGGCAGCATGATGGGGATAGGCCTCTGAAGAAACCTACTTCAGTATTGTCCACATGATGGACCTGCCAAGGTACATCTTTCTCTCCTTAGAGCTGCTAATAGAAATAAATGTTTATAAAGCCCATAGAAAGGGGATGTATCTGGCATATGTGAAATAACAGCAGAATCTGGAAGCCTCTGAGAGTGAAACACAGTGTTCCAAGGAAATTGAATCATCTGTTTTGTCCTTTAAAATAAAAGATGACTCCTTTGACAGTGTTTTTCTGTATAGATCGGGTTGGTTCCACTCACTGACTTATGTAATCTTATTAATCTTTCCATCATTCTAAGCCAGGTAAGCATAATAAAGCAACTGTTCCCCTCCTGTTGTTTTAGTTTTAGATGCCCTTATAAATCTGCTCTGGATTAAGACCAGTAATAAATGCACACACACGGGCTCATGCATGCATGCACACACACACATCCTCATTCACATACATACTCATATGTACGTTCACCCTTCAACTGTATGCACACACCAAGAAACCCGAGTGTTGCCATCATCTTCGATTTCAAACCCCTCTTTAATGTATTAATAAAAGAGAATGGGAGAGGAAAGAAATGGAATGACTATGACACTTTCTAAATATTAAGTAGGTCTTTTTTCTTTTCTATTCAAAGAGGAATCGGTTAACTGTGTAAGTAACATGCAATACACAATTCTAATAGCTTTGATAAACAGAGGATAGTATATATAGGATGTTAGTTCTAAGAAAAGATAATGGAATTTGTGATACAGACCTATATTGTTCAGATTATAAAGTAACTTTCTGAATTTTGGAAATATTTTATTAAAGAACATCTTTTAGGGACAGATGATAGTGTAACAATAACACAACTGGACCCATAGGGGAAGGTACTGGGACCTCCCTGAACATGCCAGACACACATACATGTGCCCATGATCCAGGATGGCTAATGCTAGGGGTGAATCGTGTCATCAGTACTCCATCAGTTTCCCTCTCTACCTCTCTCTCTCTCTCTGTGTCTCTATCTTTACCACGAAAGAAAAAAATAAACTTCAAAAACAGGACAGCTTTTAGTTTAAAAATATATGCTGAAAATATAAATATAATAAAACTACACTTTTATCAAAATGAATAAATAACTGCATTAGAAAACCATAATAGCCCCATTTGTTTAACACCTACATAAAGTTGTTTCACATCTAACAGTACTAATACTTATTTTTAAAGAGTCATTAATTGTATTATTTATTATATTTTAATTTGCTATAGGACACATGTGCTCACCAGAGAGAGACAGAGAGAGAGAAAGAGAGTGAGAAAGCAAGCCTCCAGGTCCAGAACTCCAACGGCAGTTGGCCATGTGGGAGTCCAACGCCTCCCACTGTGGCCCTTGCTGGCCCCAATAATCTTTCTTTCTATTCACTGAAATGGCTGTGATTAGGTCAGTGAAGAAAGGCACAAAGACATGAATGGGTGGAACAGCATTATGGTATTCAAGACTTGTTAAATAGGTCGATAATGGGTAACCTATGGGGTGAAAAACACAGAGCAGATCAAGTTGGATCCCAGAGTGGCCCATCCAGTTTTCATGAGTAACACTAAAAAAATTAAGCAGGGCAAGTGATTTGATTTTATTTATGATCCAGAAAAATAATCTTTAAACTGGTATTCATGAAAGTCAGGGGAGCACAGAGGCTGTCCTAGGGGTCTGTGGGCACTGAGAGCTTAAGTTCCAGCACCTCCACTTCCAAATGGATTCTTTTCCTAAAGTTCTCTACCTTAAATGGATGTGCTTCTCAGATATTTACCAGTTCAACACCCCTACCTTCCTATTCATTGCCGCTATTTCCTATTTACTGAAAAAAGGCAGAGTTCCCATCTCTTCTGCATTTTACTGTAGTGCATCATCACTGTGAGATATAAAAACCTTGGGATACTAAACAAGATATATGTGTATCTTTGAAAATACTTTATATATACTCTTTATCATTTTGGACTACTAGTAATTGCATAACTCTATCAGAAAATATACGTGTGTGTGTGTGTGTGTTTGTGTGTGTGTTTATTGTGCATGTGAATTCACCTATCAGAACCTCATGGACACAAGAAATTTAAAAATTTAATTTCAACATATAAAAATCAGAGAAGTTTGATGAGGTAAGAACTAAAAGACTCTTCAACATAATCTAAGTAAAATACAAAATAAGAAAGTAAGAAAGAGTACAAATTAAGGCAGTGAGAAAAAGAAGGTGAGAAAGGATGTGAACAATATTAAAGAGGTAGAATGTATAGTTTATAATGACTAATAGAATAAAGAGGAAAATGGTATAGGGAAAAAGTCTGACATAGTTCACAAATTATTTGGTAGATGATGCACATATAAGAGAAACATTAATTTGGGGAGAAACATAAGTTTACTTCTGCTTATCTTGTGAGGCACATGTTTGGCATCTGTGTTCATAGCGCATCTGAGTTCTAGCTTGTCTAGAAAGTTATTGAAAGTCATGAATGCATAGTGATAGCAAAAGCCTTGGGCAGAGTGGCAATCAGTGGATATTGAAAGAACACAAAAAGGGTCTTCGGCCCTTTTCTCCATAGGATTTCTCCAGGAAATCCTAGTACTTCTCAGTAACTATTCTATATAATATACTTTTCTTGATGTCAGAGGTACAGAAGTGAAGCAAATAGATCAAGGCTTATGACCAAATGGAATTTTGAAAGCTTTAACATGAACTAGTAAAACAAAAGCTGAAACATCCTTGCTATTGGGACATTCGCTCCTTTCAGAGCCAACATTTGAATGCTGCTCTCAGTTCTCTTCATTTGTTCAGAAGCTGAATGGACTACAAATTTGTACTTGTCACTTTTCTTCCAGCTTCTATCTTACAATCAATGGATCACTGGAAGTGAAGGAAGAATGTCACTCATTGTCTGACAAATGTGTGCCAGGTTGTCCTGGGACAGTTCTTCTTTGCCTTCCTTCACACAGTGATCCCCAGAAGGATCAGCTACCCAAATATCAGCACCAAACCGATATTCTGGCCATTTAACGTTGAATAGAATTACGGAATTTTAAAGCATTGCGAACATGTTATAACAAGATTGGAAGTCCTATAAAAAGCCTCAATGAATGACTGATTTTCTTATTTCCCCTTCAATAACTTCATATCTTGAATAATAGGTGTCCCATATATTAGTTTATTTCTGCCTTTCAGATAAAATAATAATATTTGTTGGAACTAATTGTCCTTTTTTGAAAAGAACGTCAGTAGGTCCTTGGCAATGAGATGCTCTCTTGTGATTGATGTCCTTTAAAAAAACAATCTCATTAATTATGTAAATTGATTCATATACTTCTTTGACTGAAGACACTTTATACTCTTTAACATTATTAGGAACCTGAAT